GGGAGGAGGGAAAACAGAGCTGGGAGTTCCTGCCCCAGGCACAGTTGTCAGGAACTAAATATGGAACAAAGCGCTGAGGATGGGGTAGGGTGACCAGGAGCTCTCGGGTGTCACCTCCTTCCCTTGCCTCCCCCAGGTCCTTTCAACAAACCTCTTGCTCCCCTTTTAATTTCGAATGAAGTGACAACTTTGCTGTGGGCGGGACAGGCAAAGGCTGGAAAATCCTGGAAGCACGAGGTGTATTTATCCCTTGGTGTGACAGACAGCTGGCACGGGGCAGGGCTGGAGCTCCTCCAGCCTCTGCCTCTGCCAGTGGATTCTCTCACTGACCTTGAAGGACCACGGGTTTGGCTCAGGCAGGAGGGAGAAGGAGCCGTTGCCATTGGGTTTGCTGGTAAATCCCCATTATTGGTGGATTTGTCCTCATGGATCAGCTGGAGCATCCCAGCAGAGTGCCCAGAGGAGCAGGACACGTGGTTCCTCCCACTGTGCTCTCCCAGCAGGAACACAGCAGCCCAACAGGGTGAAATCTCATTGCTGAGCTGAGTCAGACCGTGCTGGTGTAAATGCAAACCAGAACCTTCCCCCAGTTATTGAGTGGGATTGGAATTCCCAGTGGGCAGCACTGCTGGTGCTGGGCAATTCCCAGGGCACGTGCTGAGCATTGCCCCTGGTTCTGTATTTGCTCTCCCTGCTGCCTGTGTTTGCCAAGTCCCCAGAGCACTGGGATGTCTCTGGGCTGGGAGAGTTGTGTCTCTCTTCTTTTTCCTTTGAAATTCTTCCAGTTCCTCACTCTACATTTCAATCATTTATAGCTGTGTCAATCCCAGATGATCCCAGCTAAGGAAAACCTGGGGAAGGTTTGTCCCAGACACTGATGCTGCCGTGCCATGGGGTGAAGGAGGTGGAAGTGGCTGTGCAGAGCTCGTGGTGGAGCCAAAGCACATTGGAAATCCAATCTGTAGTGCCTTGGCTCTGCACTTAGCTGAAACCCACTGCCATCCTGATTCGGATAATACGAGATACTCAACTATATTTGATTAGGTCTCAGACTGTGCTTGATGGAAAACCTGCTCTCAGTTTGAGGAGGATCAGCTGTACTCCATGGAAATCAGAGAGTTGGGAATACCTGTGTGGAGGCCAAGCTCAGCCCTGGTGATCCTCTCACAGTCAGCCTTGCCAGGCTTTGGGGGAGGCTGCACCTCTGCAGAGGGAGAGAAACTTGTGCCATTGGGCAGATAATTTACTATCACAGAACATTATAATATATGATCCCAGATAATGAATTCTGGCTGGTTTTTCCAGCCCCTGCCGACAGCCTGTCCCTGCTGAGCATCCCTTGGAGCTTCCCCTCAGTAACATCTCTGCAGCCTTTGGGCAGAGCAGCCCCTGTGCCCCCATTCGCTGGGCTGAGCTGTTTGTGTGGTGGCACAGCTGGCACAGAGTCCTGTGCCAGCAGCACAGCCAAGGATCCCACAGGTTCCAAGACACCCTATCCATGGAACACGTATCTTCCACGCTGCAGAATTGTATTTATTTCTAAGCTCAAAATACTCTCCTGGAGGGCAGGTGGAGTGTTTTGCCTCCTCCTGCGTGGTAACCACGCTCAGGTTCCACCTCCCCTGCCCAGTTACAGTCACCTCTGACATTTCAGGGAGGGTTTGGGGCATGGGAATCCTCTCTCGGTGAGTGTGTCACCTCTGACATTTTAGGGAGGGTTTTGGGCATGGGAATCCTCTCTCGGTGAGTGACAGCTTGTTTCCTTCTTACCCTTCTCTTCAAAGCAGCGTCCCAGCCGCTCTGCAGTCCCTCTGGCCCACTCCTCTCTATTTTTGGGTGCCTGGGTCCCATCCTCCCTGCAGCCCACAGCTCCCTCTGGCCTGGCCCCTCCTCAGGCTCCGGGGCTTGGCTCTAATCTAATCTGGGGAATGTGGCACCAAGACTCTCCCTCTCTCCAGCCATTCCCCAGCTGCTTCCCAGTTCCTTCTAGGGCAGTGCATGGCATAGCCACGATCCTCCCCCTGCAGCGTCTGCCCGAGCCAAAAATATAAAAGGGCAGCCCTGGAGCTGCTGTCAATCCCCCTGGGCCGAGGGATGGCCGAGGGCTTTGATCCGTGTTCTCGGCTTCGAGTGACCCCAGGTCCCCCTCCCTGTGCCTGTGTGTGCACAGGAGTGTGTGAGCATGGGATTAGCGGCTGAGGCCAGCGAGGGAAGGTTTTTTCCATCAGCTAGTTCTGAGCAGGACCAGCTCGGGGTGCTGAGAGGGGTCAGGGCTGTGGCACTCGTGGAAGTGGCACTCAGGTTACCCAGAGCAGTGCCCCTGCCAGCACCGTTTGCACTGAGCCTTCCCTCTGCCCCAGTCAGCCCATTTACTTGACTCTGAATCAGTGGAACACAGGGATCTCTGCTGTATCCCCTCCCTGTCTCCCTGGCAGGTCATTTGCTGCTCCTCTCCTCGCAGCAGGAGCTCCTGGCTTAACCTGGCTGTTCCCCTTCCCACCTTCCTGCCAAGGAAGAAGGTGTTTTTGTGGCATTCTCAGGCCGGGAGCAGTTTGGGTGGGCACAGGAGTGAAATCAGAGCCTGTCTGTGTGAGTCATGGCTCAGCCCTGCTCTCCATTCCGTGGGGACAGCTGGTGGCACTAACAAAACGTCTCCCTAGAGACATTGTCTGGCAGCAATTCTCCTCCTGCTTTTTCCAGCTGTAACTACCGCTACGTGGTAAATAAATAAACACTGGCAGTGATGTGCAGGGGCAGCTTTCCCTCCTTCCTTCAGCCTTGGGGCTCTCCCCTGTTCCTCTCCTCCCGCTGCAGGGCCACGGTGCCAAGGCTTAAGGGATGGGGCAGGAGATGCTCGTGTCCCAGGGGAAGGTGCCACATGTGGGCTGGGGTGAGCTGTGGGGCACACACGTGTGGGCAACGCTCTCAGCTCCATCCCTGCCCCATGGGCACAGCCAAACCTCCCCCAGCACATGCCTTGGCAGGCGCCGCCGCTCTCCAATTAATTCAGACCCAACTGGAAGTCAATGACAGCTCCAGCAGCACAACCTCCTCCCTCTGGGCTCCTGCTGCAGGTTCCCTGGGAAGCTCAGCCCTGGCCACGCTGCAGGTGCTGTGAGCAGAGGGATTTATGTCCTGCAGCACTGGGTGCCCACACAGGGATGGGGCAGAGCAGCTGTTTCCCCTGCACACAGCAGCAAACCCTCACTCGCAGCTGACTTGGTGCTTTAGCACATCTCCAGATGTCAGCAAACCAGTGAACGTCCTGTCCTGCTGCAGCCACAGTGTTTTCAGGCCCAGCTGGTGAATTACTGACTGAGGCAAGGCCTGGGAAAGGAGGCTGAGCCCGAAGGCAGAGAGGGTTTGTGCCCAGATCCTGCAGATCCACCCCAGGGAGGTGATCGCTGGGATCAAGTGTAACCATCACTTTAATGCCAAGTTTGTCTTTCTGGAAATACTGGCTGAAGTTTGCAGAGAGGTTCATCTCCAGACACAGTGATCTGAGGGGTGGCTCTGACTCCAAATGCCACGACCCCAGGAGAGCTGGAACTCGTGGCCTTGGTCTGAGTCACTGCAGGAGTCACATAGACCATGACAAGCTCCTGACACTGGGTGGGATGTTGTGCCCATTCCATAGGCTGTTCTGGGGGGGAGCTGGGCAAACACCAGTTGGACAGGGCTTGGGGCAGCCTGGGTCAGTGGAAGGTGTCCCTGCCCGTGCAGGGGGTGACACTGGATGGTTTAAGGTCCTTCTACCCCAAACCATTCCCTGATTCCCTGGAACCAGAGCCCCTCGAGGTGCACCAGGGCACTGCTGGTTTGGGGCTGCACTGCACAGTCTGTGTAGGAAATTCTCTAGATGAGCACTGGATGGTTTAAGGTCCTTCCACCCCAAACCATTCCCTGATTCCCTGGAACCAGAGCCCCTCGAGGTGCACCAGGGCACTGCTGGTTTGGGGCTGCACTGCACAGTCTGTGTAGGAAATTCTCTAGATGACTTTGCAATGTCATTAAAGTTATTTTTATGCACGAGGGTTTAGTGTGTCTGTTTAAACAGCAAATACAGCAAACGATGCCTGAAATATTAATACCTGAGGGTGTTTTGCTGGATTGAATTTTCCCAATTGATTTCAAGCTGCTCTGGCTATCACAGGCAGGAACATTTGTTATTTCTGCTGCCTGCAAGAAAAGGCAGGAGGCAAAGAGAAGCTCCTGCTGCACCTACAGGTGTCTGGGAGGAGCAGGAACTGGGGTGAAGCCATGAACGAGTCAGCCAGTCCCAGCAGCTGGGAAAAGGGGAGGGCAGACAAGGAAAAACCTATTAAGCTTAATTCCAGAATTTCCTTTACCTGCAGAGACACGTGGGAAGAAGAGAGAGGACTAATTGGTGAAAGCTAATCAAATATTCATCCGTCTATTTAACTGGAAACGTTATTAAATCGTCGCAGGTTTGAAGCAGCTCTTAAGTCACCAGTTCAAATGGGATTTAAATAGTTCTCTTCCTTCTCAAAGCAGCTAAAGGCTCCTCAGTCCCTGCTGGCCTCACTAGATGGCTCTGCTCGTCCCCGTTCCCTCTGCCCGTGTCGCTGGGGAAGGACAGAGATGTTCAGGAGCCTAAATCAGCCTGAACTGCCTCGAATGTGCAGCCAGACATCAGCTCTCTCGAGCAGGGTCTGTGCTCCCCTGTCCTTGGCATGTGATTCCTGGGAGACACAGATGCTGTAAATAAGCTCAGGGGTAACACAGATATTTGCCCTGGGAATGAGTCTGGCTGACCATGTCAGGAAAGCAAGAACAACTTGGATTTATTTATTCCCAAAGAGAAGTGGTTTGTTTTTATTGAAAGCAAATACAAGTGATGTTACAGCCCCAGCCAAGCCCTCCCACCCTACAGGTATCCCCACACGCCCAGATCCACAGCCAGGGAGGAGATCCACGTGTCCCTTCCCTTCACACCGAATGCTTTTAGCAGTTAAAAAGAGTTGGAAATACTCCCTGGACTCAGCGAGAGCTCAGGCTCAGGTCTGCCAGGGCCTGAGGGATGGACAGGGCTGAGTCCATGCACCTCTTGTGTCTGACTCTGTCAGGATTTGGTCCCATTTCTCTTTGTATTTTAACCTTTCCTGATTGAAAACGTTCAGGAATGAAGAGACTCAGGGCTGAGGCACCTGCCCTGCACCTGACAGACCTGGTGGGGCTCTTTGCCAATTATAGAACTAGAACCTTCAGGGCAGTGGGAACAAGTTCCTAAATTTCACAAAGGCTCTTGGGTTTCTGCACCTACAAAAGAAACCCTGTGTTTTCTCAAAGGCACTGGGGTTAGTTTTCCTGCTCTGATAAGGAATAGCACTCAGAGGTGGAAGAAGCATTTGCATTCTAATCATTGCTGCTTTGTCTTGGAGCTCAGAGCCCAAGGAGTGTGACAGTCCCCAGAAGGAAGGCAGTGCTGCCTCCTTGCAGCAGCAGGACAGACAGATCCCTGCTCACTCACCAAGTCAAAGGTGTAAAGCACAAACCAGGGGATACCTGAACATGAAGCAACAGCACAAACAGCAAAACATCAAGTAAGTTCTCAAAAATCAGTGTGCACAAGTGAAGGGCATTTTAGTCTGGTCCCAGAGGAGAAGGAGGGAGTTAGCACGTGTGTGACCAAGCTCTGCTCTCGGGGGGATGTCGAGGGTGTCTGGGGATGCTACTCTGGATGGTGGTGGATCACGAGAGCCCCACGTGGCTGCTGAATTTGACCTGATGGCATTAACAGCTGTAGCCCCCAAACCTCAGCAGTTCCCAGGAGGAGCCCATGGTGCAAACCTTTCACACAGCCACGGTGAAGGTGGGAGGAGGAGGAGGAGGAGAAGACACGTCCCAAAACGAACCCCCAAATGATTAGCCCTTGGTTCACATCAGCATAGTTTAGTTACACAAAATGCCTTCATTTCCATCCTGCTCTTCTTATTCTCCCTTCCCTGCCTTCTGCCCGGGGTTGTCCTTCCAGATGCGGATGGTGAGGCAGGTGGCCATGCCCAGCCAGCCCAGGTAGGGCAGCAGCAGCAGCGCTGCCACCTTGTTGATGCGGTACCAGGAGCACAGGGTGCCTATCGCCAGCCCATCCAGGCACAGGATGTCGATCAGGGCCTGCACAGGGACAGCACAGTGACTCCAGGGTGTGGGACACACCACAGCTCTCCCCAGCACCAGCAGAACCCTCCTGGCACAGCCGAGGACGTGGAGTGGGAATGGGGGAGCTTCAGCACTGAGGAGTCACCTGCAGTGATGCCAAACCCCAGGACCTTAGTCCTGAATTCTGATCAGTGAGATCTGAGTGTCTCACACCAGCCAAGACTAATTAATGTTCTTCTCTTTGTTCATCATCGAATCCCACAGTTTAGCACCCTGATCAGTCTCTCCTGCTGACAGCAGGCAGAGGAACACCCTCGTGGTGATGCCACAGCTGTGGTCACTGGGCAAACTTGCCAACTGCACCTTTCACCCCCAGAGCCACAAAATTCAGGTGGAAACATAAATCCCACCCGTGTTCCCATCCCCTCCCGGCCGTGGCAGCAGAGGCAGGTGCCCTGAGCCCAGCCCAGGGGCAGCTGTGCCAGGCAGAGCCTCACTCGGTGTGCACAGCACTGTGTGTGCTCGATAAGCCCCTGAGAGCTGCTGCCCCCAGCCCTGCTGACTGTGCTGCTGTGGGTGGGACACCCCAAAGAACTTATCTCTCACCCCGAACCCTTAACTGGGAGGTGCAGCCCCAGCCCCAACACCTCCCCAGTGTCCCACCCTGCTGTGCCCCCAGCTATCACACAGCAGGGCAGGGTGAGGGGTGGTGGGCACTGATACCAGAGTCTGCCCCGGGAGCAGGGAGAGCACCAGCCCCTCCTGCAGCTCTCTGGAGAGCTGCAAAATGCTTGTAGGAGAACCTCCAACCCCCAGAGCCCCGTGGCAGATCCCCAGCAGGGACTGGGCTCTGGGCACCTTACCATATTCAGGTTTTGGGCACCGAAGAAGAAGGGAGGCCAAGCCCAGTTCAGGGCCAGCTGAGCCCCGTAGAGCCCCAGTGGGACGATGGCTTTGCTGCTGCAGCCCCCCAGGTCGTTCCAGATCAGGTAGGAAGCATAGCTGTGGAGAGGGACCCTGGTCAGTGTCTGCAGGGAGTACAGCCCTGGCAGAGTCTCCCATGTGTTTCCCAACAGGGATTTGCAGGACAGTTGGATTTGCACGACAGCAGCATCCAAGTCAGGCACTGATCTCTGCCCTCTGGGACCAGTGACAGGACCCAAGGGAAGGGCTGGAGCTGTGTCAGGGAGGGTTAGGTGGATATTGGGAAGAAATCCTTCCCCCAGAGGTGTCTGGGCACTGGAGCAGCTCCCCAGGACAGTGGTGCAGCACTTACCCTGTGCCTGTGTAGAGGATGAGCCAAGCAAGAAGGAATATTTTGCGGGATGGACACCAGGAAGGTTTTTTCAGCTTCTCATACCAGGCAGGTATTTTCTTGCGGTTCACGAACCAGCCCAGGAAGCCTCCAAGGTGGGGCAGGAGGGTGAACCCTGCGGCGTACGCCCACATCCTCCTCAGGGTCACCTCTGGCCTGCTGGAAGTTAAAAAAACCCCTAGATTATCACTTGAAAAGGACATTTTTCCCTGCCTTGATCCCCTAATTGTCCATACTTCAATCCCTAAAGCGGATGGATGTACTTAACCCAGTTTTCACCAAGGAATTCTGTTTTAATTCCAGACACATCCTCACAGCAGCTTCAGGTGCTCCCTGCAGGGTGTTCCATCCCCTGTGGTGGCACAGGAGATTCACCTGAGCAAACAGCAAAGCTGAGGCACCAGGGCAGTTTCTTAATTTGCTCATGGCTTTCCTCTTGCATAAAGGAAGGAAAAATTCCTTTAATAACTACACAATACTGCCACACACGACAGGATAAGACAAGGATACATCCAGCAGTCTCTGCCCCACACCTTCCCCTGCCTTTATCCTCTACAAGAGCTCTGAACCTGCCACTTCTCTGTCCTTCCTTCCCTCTCCACATTCACCTTCCTCTGGATCCATTAAGGAATTAAGCCCCAATTAGCATTCATCGGGGATAGCACAGAGGAGTCTGCAGGAGCAGAGCAGTTTGTGCTGTCAGCACAAGTCCAAAAGCACCCGGGAAGGTTTGGAGTGGGGAATGCAGGAGGAGAGGAGCAGGAGAATCCCCGAGCCTGGGAGCTGTGCCTGGATCCCCCAGCACTGCTCAGGGGCAGGATGACCTGCCTGGCAGCTCTGTTTGGGGTTTCAGGTCACAATTAACATGTTGCTGTAGCCTGAGCTGATTGTTATTAATATCATCAGGCTGCAGCACGAGCAGGCGCCAATTCACACCTCTGTACAGAGCAAACACCCCAGACACCTTCTCCAACCAGCAGTTCCATCACCAGGCAATTCATAGGGCTATAAAAGCACCTACAGAATCAGGAAATAAACTCTGAGAAAAAGGAAGAGCTCAGTTCTGCTTTAAAGTGTGAACCAGCACTGCTGAGTTCTGGTTCCTCCATCCGCTGAGGAGAAGGAAAAGGGGAAAAGAGGATTTTTCCCACCTCCTTTGTAGCTGTCAGCCAAACCCGCCAGTCTGCAGAGGTAAAGGAGGGTTGGAAATAGCTCAGCACTGCTGTAAAAGCTGATTTTGCCTCCCAGATGCTGCAAGCCAAGGAGCAGGAGCTGCCCGAGCCTTACCGTGTGTCCTGCCTCGCTGTGCTGCCCCAGGGAGGTTTGGACAGCCGAGCAGCCTCGGCCGAGTGAGGGCTCTGGGATGAGTTTTGCCCAAATAACAGAAAACAGGGTGTGTGTGAGTGAGTGTGTGTGCTGGGGCAGATTACGCTGCGGAGCCCAGAGAGCCACAGCACAGACACCCTCAGCTCCCCTTGGCTCGGGGCCCAGCACCTCACCTGGGCCAGGGGCACGGGGAGGCACCTGGAGCCTGTCTGGGGTGGCAAAGTGTAAACCAAAGTGTGTCCCACGCAGAGGGACATGGGGATGGCACAAGAGCTCGTGCAGGACGCCTGGGGCCAGTCCCTGGGTGCACATCTGCTGCCCCTTACCTGCACCTACCTGGGGATTTACCACACCTGGGCACCCATCTGTGCTTAGCCCAGGTGCTTTCAGGGGTCCCCTGTGCACTGTCCCTTTGGCTAAAATTCCCTGGAATCTGAAATCAAGATGTTACACAAGCATGTTAAATGGAAAAGAAAAAGGCTGGAAATCAATTTCCATTAGGGAGCTGTCTGCAAGGGCTGGGCCATGAAACACTCACTCAGCTGCAGTTCTGGGTCATTACCTGGATTTCACGGCCAGAGGCAGCAGAGCTGCTTCCAGCACAACGGGATGACATGAACCAGGGAAAGCTTCTCTTTTATTGGGCTTCAAGAAAATTAGTTTTTGTGGGAGGAGAAAGAAAGGGGGGAAAGCAGTGTAAAGGGCCAGAGCCTGAGCTGGCATCAATCCTGCCCTGCCGCGGCAGCGCTGGGTGCGTAGAGTGTAATCACACTTGGGTGACAGATGCAGCACTCATTAATCACACCACAGCCACCTGCATATTCCTGCAGAGTCCGTTGCTATTTGCGACTGGAAATTTGTGTCATGGAATGATGCAGCCACTCTCAGGGCCCAAATGGTTTCCACTGGAGTCAGGCACAGCAGGGCTCGGCAGGCACTGCCTCCACCGGCCCCTGGCGACTGTCAGAGCACACGAAATTCAACCATTTTCAGCTGGTAACATCTCTCCCTGGACACGAGGCCGAGCCCATGATTACTGGTTGGCTTGGCATGCAGCAGTTGTGTGCCCAGGCTGGTTTGGAGTCTAATGTACTGGAAGAATGAGAAACTAAGGGTCAGAGCACAAGGACCTGGTGAATCTGTGACTGGGGATGGTGCTGTGTGATGGGGAATAGCAAATGGAAAGAGGAAAACATAGCAGAGGTAATGACAGGCCTCAAAGTTGTGTATCACACGTGTCAGTCCTACTCAAGCTATAGAACAAGCAAGGGGTCAGTGAATCATAGAATCACGGGATGGGGTGGCTTGGGAGGACCTTAAAGCTCATTTTGTTCTGTCCCAGGGGCAGGGACACCTCCCACCAGCCCAGGCTGCTCCAAGCCCCATCCAGCCCAGCCTGGAACACTCCCAGGGATGGAGCAGCCACAGCTGCTCTGGGCAACCAGTGCCAGAGCCTCAGCACCTCCCAGGGAAGGATTTCTTCCTAATTTATCCATGTGGAGACATGAGGGATGAAGACATGATGGGATGATGGGTAAGAGAGTTGCTTCCCTGGCAGGTGTGTGTCTCCTGAGCACGAGGATGTGGTCCCTGGCTGGTCAGGACTGTCAGGAGCTTCTCTTACAGTGTGTGCTGGGGAGGGAGGAAGCTGAAGGCTCTGGGCAGGTTGGCAGGAGACTGCGAGGGAGAAGCAAAGACCAGGATCAGGTTTGGGAAGAGTCTTTGGTGGCACCATCAGTGCTGGACACAGTGTGAATTCCCCTCTGGCACGAGCCCCTGTGCAGACACCCTGAGGGGAGGGGAGAGTCCTGCCCTGGGCTCCCTCCTGCCCTGGGCACGTGCCGGAGGAGGAGAGTCCCGGAACACTCCGGAAAGGTTTCCTCCAGCACAGCATCAGCTTTCCCCCGTTACCACGGATTTGTGTCTCAATATTTCTGGCTGGAGCAGTTCCACAGTAACACGAGCTGAGGTAATGCTCCTGGTGCAGGGTCCATCCTGCCCCGTGCCTGGGGCACCGTCGAGGTCCATCCCCGCTGGGCTCAGTCCCTGCAGTGTCTGCGCCGGGGGCAGACGTGGAGTTACACAACTCTGTTTGTTTGCCTCTTCTTAGCAACCTCTGCACGTTGCCCCCAGAGCTTCTCAGCCTATGCAAGATTAATTGCTCAAATAGAAAAGCCCTGTTAACCTGGATATATTATTGAAAAGCAGCATATTTCAATCTGCCCTAGATTTGAAAATAGAGATGCCGGGTCAGCTCCTGGCATAAATCTGCGGAGCCAGCGGAGCCTCCGGATTTCCAGCAGCAGAAAAAGTGTCCTGCCTCAGCTGCCAGGCTGGGAGCAGCAGGCTTGGGGGCTGCCCCCAGGGCTGGGCAGGCTCTGCCATCCCCACACTGCACCGAGACACGTTCGCTTGGTGTGGGAAAAGCCACTAAACCCCACACACCCCTCGGACTCATCTCTAATGAGTGAGAGCTTGTCCTCCAAAGTTTCCAGTTTTGCTGACATAAAGTACTGGACAATAAAAACCAGCACAGGAATTTCCAGCTGTCGATCGGGTTTCCCTGTGTGGGCACCTTTGGTTGGCTGGGGCAGGACCTAGAGCCCCTCAGATGGGCTGTGGGTTGGTTGGGGAGCTGAATTCCCACCCTCCTGGCACTGCCTGTTTGCCAGCAGAGGGGCTGGAAGGGGCAGGAAGGGGCAGCAGGGGCAGGAAGGGGCTGGCAGGGATTGGAAGGGGCAGGAAGGGG